TTCGTGGGCCGCCAAACCGATGCGCCACAAACAATATACCCGAAATATATAAGCTGTTTTTTCTTTCATTTGCTTTTTTTTTTCTTTTGCATAGATGGCTTTATGAGTCAGCAATTGTTATGACGTGCTTCGCCTTCACAGAACTTGAATTCTTGTTCTGCACTTCCTGGTGATCCTCGTAACGTATCGATTCGAAAATTGGCCGCTGGATTTTTGGGTCAATATCCGGGCTAAGCAATTTCTGCTTCAGCAACTCTCTGAAAAGATTTCTTTCTTTTTTTTCCAATCGCTAAAAAAATGGAAGAGATACTAAGCAACAATCTACTCATCAACTTATTTGAAGGCAAAGTGCGTCAAATCAAAAAAGACGCACCGGCGGGCTCGTGCGATCATGCGTTTTTGCAGTATTTCGTGCTGTTCTATGGCCTCTGGGAATCCCAGTAGCTAAAATCTATGGCATACTGGTCCTCATGTTCGGGAAATTAATTGTGCAACTACACGGTACTTGGTCAGAGAACATCCTTCCAAAATTTCGGCTTTCTGTATTTTCTGGTCTCCGAGTTAGCAATTTTCCGACCACAAATTTCGCGGGAGCCGCACGCGAGAACCACGCATACCTGGGAACAGGATTTGAAATCTTTGAGTTCTACGTGGATGGAGAAAATCCCCTCAAAACCCCAGCCTCCCAGCCTATCTGGTCCCCGATTTAGTGATTTTCCCGCCAAAACTTTCACGTGGCCGTAAGCGGGGCCCAGACATGCGAGAAGGATGATGTCGCGGTCCTGGGTGGCACTCGGCCGAGGAATCCGCTTGCAGAACTTCGGCACTGGAACTTGCTTGGTCGCCGAGTTAAAACACCCGGACAGACGCGCACGCACACACACGCACACATATACAAACACATGCACACCGGGGTAGTCATGATACGAGTTTTTTGCATCTATGCAATGCAGAAAACGCATACTGACGAGAGGTTGTCTGTGTGTGTGTGTGTCTGTGTGTGCGCTGTGCGTCTGTATTGATTTTTTATCTCGAGACCCACAGAAGCTACAGGGCTGAAACTTTGGGAACCTAATCT